AGTGAAGACGACTGGCGAGAGCGCCGGCGCAGAGGAGGGAACCAGGGCCGGCGGGTCGAGGGGGCACAGTGATACGGCGGCGCACGGGCTCGGCGGCTCGATGGCGCGGTGACTCGGCGGCTCGGTGGCGTGGCGACTCGGCGGCTTGGTGGCATGGCGACTTGGCGGCTTTGCGGCTCGGCGGCTCGGTGGAACAACGCGGCGGCAGGGGCCGGCGTGAAGTGGCGAGGTCAGCGCGAAGTGGCGGGGCCGGTGCGAAGTGGAAAGGCCGGCGCGGAGTGGCGGGACCAGCGCGTGCGCGGATGGCGCAGACAGCGCCGACGGCACGGGTGCGGCGCGGCGCGGACGGCGCGGGCGCGGCACGGACAAAGTGGACGGCGTGGGCTCGGGCTCGGACGGAGCGGACGACGTAGGCGGCGCGGACGGCGCGGACGGTGCGGAAGGCACAGACAGCGCGGGCGGCGTGGTCGGCGCGGATGGCGCGAGCGGCACGGGCACGGCTCAGGCGCGGCTAGGGCTAGGGCGCGGGCGCGGCTAGGGCTAGGGCATGGGCGCAGCTCGGGCGCGGCGCGGCACGGCTAGGGCTAGGGCGCGGGCGCGGCTCGGGCTAGGGCATGGATAGGACATGGGCTAGAGCAAGGGGTAGGGCTAGGGGCGGAAGCGTAAGTGGGGAGGGGGGACCTAACCTAGCGTGATACCATCTCAGAATAACGCAATTACTAGAATGAGGCATACAGGCAGGTTTTGTGCTATGGTGTTGTACTCTCTATAAACATGCACCTATCTAGCCTATAACAATATATAAATATGCTGACATTCAGGCCTTTTTGGCCTGACTTCAGAGGCCCTGCCCGAAGTCCTCGAACTCGCATGTTCGGCCTATATTGTCAGCCCAAATCTCCCCGAGTCGCGTTCCGACACCCTCGCCACCCATCCAATCGATCTCACATCCTGAGGTTCTCACCCTAGCTAGTCCTAGCACGTCCGTGCCCTGTTTTAGCCAGTTTTCTCCTCGCTTGTGAATGGATTATTTTCAAGGGTTGTATTCACATTATTGAGTGGCTGTACCATTCCCACTCGTAACATCAGGCATTCATAGCACTTTCTTGGGCTAGTCGCTTCCGCCTGCCCGAGATTGTTTTAGGGGGGAGGGGGGGGGGGGGGGGGGGGGGGGGGGAAGGGGGAGGAGGGATGGCTAGAGGGCCTGTGGCTACACATCGGTTGTTCAGGAGCTAGATATGATTAGCTACTACAACTACGATAGCGTGTGCACCTCTAAGCCACTCGATCCCCGCCTTTGGATGGCTTGGATTGGTCGTGCCCCGCCCTCCCCCCAAGAATGGACAGTTGTGTCTTTTGCGAGTTTTTGTCACGTAAGTTAGTGGCGTTCATTTCGGTTTTTTGTAGCCTGCAACTGGCATCATCCTCAAGCGGCGAAGAAATTTTCAAGACGGATCGCGTGGAATTCATGAATGGCTTGCAAAAATTGAGAGGCTCACGTCGTGTGAAAGCGACAGCTGTGAACCTCGCTAGGCGCACACGGAACGTGCGTCAGGAATTATCCCAACGAGAAGAGACTCCACGTGCCAGCTACCCGAATTATGCGGTAGTGGTGTGTTGCCTTATCCGGACTGAAGCGGAGTTCTACCAGGTGGGCGCATCATCATAATTTCCGGAAGGAGATTGCGACAGACCGGGTTGGACGAGAGGGAAAGTTCAGCACTTCAGGAAGAGCAGGGCAGCGTATCGGAAATCTCAAGCTGAGTTCCCCCGTGTTGGGCTAAGCGACGGTAGCAGAATGACCACCTACCAGCTGAGACTTTCCAACGGCTCACATCTTCACCAGGTTCTAAGTTTGGGTTTAGTACTACTCTGACGGTCCTGGACGGATAACGTGAACAAAGCTGCGGTTAACCTGTGCTGATTAAAATGCCGGACAACCACGGGTTCGACAGTAAAAAAAAAAAAAAAAAAAAAAAAAAAAAAAAAAAAAAAAAAAGCTCTCGGCGCACGTGCGTTTCCGTTACGACCAACAAAATCGGGGAGTTGGGTGAACGACGACCTACCGAGATTGTCGGGGAGCTGAATTTTCGAAGCTGTTATTGTTCCAGCTGGAGGAGAAAGCCACCTGTCGCCGAAATTTTGGAATGCGGTGGAGCTTCTTGGAGTTGTTCCTCGTTAACGGGACTACTTTACGAGGTGTGGATGCGTAGGACCTACTACTGCCACTGAACGGGCGCAAAGATGGGTGAACGTCCGCGCGCCACTAAACGCCAGGGCATTTGGTGGGAAATTCTTCACTAGTCGGGACAACTTTTACGCACTCGGCTACTTCTGCTGCAGCCGCAAGATGGGTGAAATGTCTTTATGGTCAGCCAGTCAGAGGTGTCTGGCATACTCTATAGTTGGGCAACAGCTGTAAAAAAATCGACTATGTACAACGCGCGTCAGATCGTGATCGACGTTGTTGGAGGCGCCAGAGGCATGCCGTGCAGTTTATCCGAAGAACTGGGTCACACTTCATGTTCACAGCTGGGTTCCGATGGTGACGCTGAAAATTATTTGACATATTCTGTGCATCTTCTCCGGCGTTTACGGGTTTTATGAAGCAGTGTTGCAGCTGGTTTCAGGGCAGCGGTCCCTCGGTTTCCCATAAAACCGCATGGAGCAGTAATGTGTTTCCAGCTGGAGTTGTACCCGCTATCTTTAGGGGTACGAGCATGATTGACCAAAATTTGCGGACTATGTTTGTCCCTTTGAAGGGGACGAGAGCAGCGACTGTTTTGGCTCTTGCAAAAAAAAAAGGCGTGTACGGACGACGTAGCTGATACAGCTGGCATCATGTGACCTTGGGATCGGCGCGAGGTGTTCACTGTAATGTTTTAATACTGGTTTGCTCCCATCGCCATCGTTGTCAACCTCTCGCCAACACCCGCTACCACCCTCATATTAATTCGCCTACACTGCTCGACTGTGTAGACACGGCCATTCGCCATCCGTCTACAGCAGTATCACATCGAGAAGATTTGGCAGCATTACTGTGGGAGCTGTGTTGGAGCCAGGCCGCTAGCAGTGTTTTGACTGGTGATGAATATTTGCAGATCGTTGGAGTCTTCTGGAGCAGTTGTCGCTGATTTTCAGAGCCTCAGACGCGATTTGCCTTGCAGAAGAATTTTACTTTGGAGCAGTTTGGGAACCCCACGGGTTGGAGTTTTTCAAGCATTTTCAAAGCAGAGTTGTGGGATTTTTAAACAGCAGTGTGGGTTTACTTCGACTACCCTGGCGCATAGGGTTCCCTGGCATTTTACCTTGCTCGTTGGGAGATGTTTCTTCTTGGAGGGGGGGAGAAGCGCAGTTGTGTTGCGAACTTTTTGAAGACCTTTCCGGCGTGTTCCATCATCCTTCTCCGCCTGACATTCGTTTCAGTTACAACTTCTCGTCGAAGTTTGTCCATTCATTGATGGAGTTCGTTGACTTGCGCGAGCCACGGACGCGTGTGCTTGTACATGTCACGAATGACCTCGCGCTTTGATGAACGGTTCCTTCCAGACTCGACAAATCATCAGCCACGTCATTCTTCATTCATCATTACAAGATTTCATTAGCCACGAGCCATCATCAACAACCAGATGGACGATTTACAGTTTCAAGAGGAATTTCCACCAGTACCCGTTCGGCCAGCTGAAGATTTTGACTCTCTTCGACAACCACGATTAGAAGCGATAGTTTCGATGTTTTCTGACAATCAATCGCAGTTCAACCTGAAGACCTCGTCAGGACGGCGTAATCATTACGTTCGCCAGTATGCTGAAGACCTACAGTTACGTCGCTGATTAATTATTCGCGATATTTCGGCCTCGATATACGGAGGGCCCTATTTAGAAGGTGGGAGAGTGTAAGGAATTAACATTCCTTATTGCGCTAAACCACGGCGCGTACACCCGAAGTCCTCGAACTCGCAGGTTCGGCCTGTATTGTCGGCCCAAACCTCCCCGCATCGCGTTCCGACACCCTCGCCACCCATCCAACCCATCTCACATCCCGAGGTTCTCGCCCTAGCTCGTCCTAGCACGTCCGTGCCCTATTTTAGCCAGTTTGCTCCTCACTTGTGAATGGATTATTTTCAAGGGTTGTATTCCCATTATTGAGTGGCTGTTCCATTCCCACTCATAACAATGATCAGGCCAATCTGTCTAAGAGAAGCGAACATCAAGTTCATGTGAATTAGTAACTTAGCACCACCGTGACAGACCTTGTTGAGCATTGGTGATAGGAGATGTAAAATTATCACAAATTATCAATCAATCAGCACCTGATGCCATAATTTTGCAGGCTAGTTTGGCTATTCACCCAACGGTGAAAAAAAACGACATTAATTTCCTTGTTGGTATATGTTGTTGTATATTATATAAAGAAGCTACGGCCTCGAAAGGTCTGCATGAATATGGTTATTGTTTTGTATCGGTTGTCGAGTATGCGTCCTCGCTTCTCCAACACAGCTTCCTCCACCACGCCGCCCTTGAGCAGACCTTCGATTGTGGTGGGCAAGTTCGATCTCTTCCGTCAGGACAGGGCATGTGTGGGTGGATACACAATTTGTGGCGAACTAAATCACGACACGATTTGTTCCTGGTTCGCCACTAAACGTTAAAATATACTGGTGGCGGCATTTGCCTTGCTCCACCGCACACGCTTGCATTGCACACCATCAGGAATGAAGGGGGTAAATAGCAGAGCATCGCAAGAATAGCCAGCTGGTGTACAGAAAACCCTTGGTTTCTCCCCCTATGGTACTGACCTTGATGGAACAACTTACCAGAGTACATAATTGCGCACGAAGATGTTCGTAATCCTCTTCAGAATTTCGGAACTGGAGAGTTCAAATAAAATCTGCTGCTGACAGAAGCTGCTGCGTTGCCCTATGCCTCGTCTAATAAAAGAAGCAGCCTGCTTGTCCCCCTGTCAAGTGCTGTGCTGCGGCTGACCATAAATTGCTGCCCAAACCTCTTGACGTTACGGACCAAACCAATGGCCGTGGCTTGCTGACAACTGGGCAAACCGAGTCCTCTCGTCTCCTCTCCTTTCATCATTCACAGCAATTTCCATGAGAATTCATGGCGCTCCCTCACATCCGGACACACCGACCAATAGACAGGCGGACAGGAGTGCCTCAAATCTCTGGCATGCTCGCCGGAACAAGCTTTGCCCCCTGTTCGACACAGTAGCACGGAATGGTGATGACGGGACACGGCCAAACTGGGGTTTCAGGCTCAAGCTCGAGTTTCGGGCTGAGTGTCTGCGGAGCAGCAGCAGGAAGTAGAACGTTTCTATGGCGTGCCTAGAATCTTAGACGACGCGACGTGGAGGTCAGCGCGCTGCGAGTGAACGCTTATGGATCATGCAATGTACCACATTAGTAGTAGCTGTTAGCCGGTCTTCTTTCCGACGCTCCCGATTTGAGCCTGTGATATAAGTCTCTGTTAGGAAGATATCAGACGATTTCAAAAGCTAGAAAACATTCAAGCCGTCGTCGTCGTCGCGACTTAGACCTCGCCGTCGTCGTCGCCGTCGTCGCCGCGTCTTCGCGAATTCAGATCGCCCACGATGGGCTGCTTCTGTTTTGGTAGTGGCCCTCGCGACCCATCCCCACCGCCGCCACAGACCCACCCGGCCGTCTTGAGAACGCCGAGCGACGCCGCGAAGAGCCCGAGAGCGTTGAAGCGGCAGACGTCCAACACCGCAGCAGATTCTACTAAAACCTCGTTACCGGATCCAACAGCCGTCGTACCGAACCCAACCGTCGCGGTTTCCGCGTTACCGAGTCCAACCGTTCTACCGAACCCTAATGCTGGCCCCGCCCCGCTTCCGTGTCCCGACAGCGGGCCATTATCCGCGGATACCCTTCATGTGACTGTATCGAATGGTGATAATGATCCTTCGCAGCAATGGGCCGCGTCGGTGCTCCTAACGAGTACGACTACTAATAGTGCAGCTACCCAGGTTGCTCCTGCGACTGTCGCGCCTAGTCCGAGAGGGAATAATACATTTAGTCCTTCAGGAAATACGTCTTCTAGTAGCTCGACTCCTAGTAACGCGGCTTTCGCCGGGGCGCCGCATCGTCTCCCTGCTGCTCCGCAATCCGCGGCCTCTAAGCCGGCCGCCATGTCAGCAGCTTCCACGTCATCGGCTGCCGCGTCAGTAGGCCCTATTCCGCCTGGCATTGACGTCCAGAGCCCGCGGGGAGTGGCGGGCGGAAGTTTCCAGAGCCCGCGTGGGCGGAAGAAACCGTCCGCGCAGCAGTTGCGCACACCCAGCGCATTGGCGCGTCTCCCCCTCCCCGTCTCTTCCGCCGCCGCCTCTTTCGCCTCCTCCGCCCCTTCCGCCGCCTCCTCCGCCTCCTCCCTCCCCGCCGGCGCATCGTCCATTTCCCCCTCCACCCGTAACGCCTCGCCCTCTGCTGTTTCCGCCTCCCCCGCCGCGGCTTCCGCCTCTCCCTCCGCGCGCTCCCCCGGCGCCACACATAGCGCGGAAAACACCTCCCGGAATGCGTCCCCGAGCGCCGCTGCTGCGCCCGCCGCGCAGGCCGCCGGTGCCCCTTCTGCTCCCACTGCCTCTACCCCTTCTACTACTGCTGCTGCCGGCGCTGCTGCTGCTGGTGGCTTAGCGGCTGTTCCCCTCCCGTTGCCCGTCAGCGGCGAGATCGCCGCGCGCGCTGCTGCTGCTTCCAGCGCGCAACCCGCGAGCGCGGGGGGGGTTGAGGGGGGTGCGCTGGCGGTTTCTCCGCCTTGCGCCAGCGCTGCTCCACAAGAGGCTGGGGAGCAGGGCAAAGGGGGAGACAGAGATATGGGGTCTTTTAAAAGGTCTGGGGAGGAGGGGGGTGAGCAGCAGCAGCAGCAGCAGCAGCAGCAGCAGCAGCAGCAGCAGCAGCAGCAGCAGCAGCAGCAGCAGCAGCAGCAGCAGCAGCAGCAGCAGCAGCAGCAGCAGCAGCAGCAGCAGCAGCAGCAGCAGCAGCAGCAGCAGAGACACCAGCAGGGGAAGAAAGGGAAGGCTGGTGACACGACCGGATCGCTCAATAGCGGGGACAGCAGCACCAGCACCAGCACTGCAGAAACAACATCGTCTGCTGCTGCTTCAGCAGCTGCTGCCGCTGCTTCAGCAGCCGCTGCTGCTGCTTCTCCGGGCACTGGTGCTGCTGCTTCTGCGGCCGCTGCTGCTGTTGCAGACGCAGCAGTGAGCAGCAGTGGCAGCAGCGGCAAGGGGAAAGCCCCAACGACCCTGATTCCTTTCACGTACGCCCAGGTCCTTCAGATGACAGGGGGACTTGCGGAGGAGGGTAGAATCGGCGAGGGCGGGTTCGGCGCGGTGTACAAGGGGAATTTACCCACGAAAAGTGGGCGTAAGATACCCGTGGCTGTGAAAGTGCTCAATGCAGAGGGGCAGCAGGTAGGATTTTTTTCTTCCTTTTCTTTCTAAAACCATTTTTATGCTTTTCTCACTTTTCTCCAGATCACTGTCCCTCTGACTAATGCTCCAACTGTCCCTCCTGCTGTTCCCCTCACCATTTCTTCCTCCCTGACTGGGCGAGAGGGGGTGGTTGACTGAAGTGGGCGTGCTGGCCCATCTCTCCCACCCCAACCTCGTCTCCGTCGTTGGATGCTGCGCCCACGACCACCACCGCATGCGCATCTACCTATTCCTCTATCTGTCCCCCTTTCCCCTCCCCCCCTTACCAGGGCGAGAGCGAGTGGTTGACAGAAGTGAGCGTGTTGGCCCACCTCCCCCACTCCAACCATGTCACCCTCGTCGGCTACTGCGCTCACTGCTCGCCCCTTCCCTCTCCTCCTCCCCTTCCCTTTCCCACCCCCCGCCCTCCTCCCCTTTCCCCCCCAACAGGGCGAGCGCGAGTGGCTCACAGAGATCAGCGTGTTGGCCCACCTCTCCCACCCAAACCTCGTCTCCTCGTCGGCTGCTGCGCCCACAACCACCACCGAATCCTCATACCGTCTCCCTCTCCCCCTCCTTCTCCCTCCCTCTGCTCTCCTCCTCCCTCCCCTCTCCCCGCCCCCCCGTCTCTCCCTGCTACAGGGCGAGAGGGAGCGGTTAACAGAACTGAGCGTGTTGGTCCACCTCTCCCACCCCAACCTCTTCGCCCTCGTCGGCTACTGCTCTCACGACCACTGGCTCCTCTGCATTACCCTTCCATTCACCCAACCTCGCCCCCCCCCCCCCCCCGCCCTCACCCCCCCACGCTTCCTTCCTTCCCCTTCTCCCACCAGGGCGAGCGCGAGTGGCTCACAGAGGTCAGCGTGTTGGCCCACCTCTCCCACCCCAACCTCGGCTCCCTCGTGGGCTACTGCGCCCACGACCACCACCACTGAAGGCTCATACCCTCTCCCCCTCCCCCTTTCTCTCCCCTCCCCCTCTTCCCCCTCCCCCCGTCCCCCTCCCCTCTTCCCCCTCTCCCCGTCCCCCCCTCCCCCTATTCCCCACTCCCCGCCCCCCCGTTCTTCCCTGTAACAGGGCGAGAGGGAGTGGTTAACAGAAGTGAGCGTGTTGGCTCACCTCGCCCACCCCAACCTCGTTTCTCTCGTTGGCTACTGCGCCCACGACCACCACCGCATGCTCGTCTACCCTTACTTACCCAACGGTTCGCTCGAACACAAACTTTTCGGACTGCCCGCAAAGGAATTCCCGCTGACGTGGCAGCAGCGGATTGGCATTGCGCTGGGAGCGGCTAAGGGGCTGGCATACTTACATGAAGAGTGCGGAAAGCCGGTATGTCAGTTTCTTATAGCTGAAGACACATTCCCTAAGATGTCTTCGATTTATAAACATTGGAATCTGGATTACGCTGTAACTTTGCCCTGAGAAATTTGACCTCGACACCTGTGGAAAACATTTAGTCGGGCCAAATGTGGGACTTGTGCACTACAAATCCCTCGTTCACTCAAGGCCCCTGTGTACCCCTGCCCCACAACTTTCTTTCTCCCCCGCCGCGCAGTTTCGTTTCTCCCCACGAAAGTCACATGTTCCCCGCCCCGCTATTTCGCTTTCGCCCGCCCCTCGATTTCAATCGTTTACACATTCGTTCCCCCCATAGTATTGATTTCTTCCCCCCATAGTATTGATTTCTTCCCCCCTTTCCCAACATTTTCCGCCGTACTCTAATCTAATCCCCCCCTGCAGTTGTGTCCCCCACTCCCTCCCCTCCCCCCCCCCCCCCCCCCCCCCCCCCTTCCCTCTTCCGATTCGCATTCCCCCCTCCCCCCAGATACGAACGTTTACAAATCCTGAGTGTGACGAAATTGACAAGGATACGAATGTCGGGAGATAATCTTGGAGTTAGGCACCCAATCAGCGCGACCCTTTCCCAATGGTTACTGTTCATTTTCCTGCATTGCCGGGAATGTGTGCGGCAGCTTTAAGTCGGTTGAAACTTGAAAGCGATTGAGTCGCTACTAAGTCCGGTTTGGGCCCATGTGTCCCCCCCACCTTGCCCCTCTCCCACCCACCCTATCGGCTCATGTGCCATGAATTCAAGGCTTGCACCATTCTCCTCTCAAAGGCCTGGCAGGTGAAGCTCTCAGAATTTGGGCTGGCACTCTCTGCCACTGTCTCCCTTCCTGCTCTACTCTTCCCACTTCACCCCCTCACCTTGCCCCTTCCTTACCCCCAGCAGCTCATCTACCGTGACTTCAAGGACTGGCATGCCAACTGCTTCACGCCTGAAACCCACCTCTGCCGTTGCTTTCTCCTCCCTTCCTTACCCTTCCTTCCCCCTCTCCCACCCCCTTCAGCTCATCTACCGGGACTTGCATGAAGCCCAACATTCTCCTCACTAAGGACTGGCACGCCAAGCTGTCTACCCCCTCTCCCCCCCCCCCCTCCTCCCTCCTTGCCCCCTCCATCAGCTCATCTATCGGGACTTCAAGACGTCCAACATCCTGCTCACCAAGGACTGGCAGGCCAAGCTCTCGGACTTTGGGCTGGCCAGGAGCGGGCCAGAGGGGGACAACACGCATGTGTCCACGCGGGTACGCACACCTCTGAGCATGTGCATCGGAGACTGGTGTGCATTGGTGACTGGTGTGTTTCCGTGACCCGAGCTCACACACTTTGGGCTGGCCAGAAGCGGACCAGAGGAGGACAGCACGCATGCCTCCCTCCACGCGGGTATGTGGTGCACATGTCATGCCATGCCAGGACAGTTGATGCTTGAGAATTCTCGAAAGCCAACTTACCGCAGAATTCTCTAAGACAACACACGTGTGTCCGCACAGGTATGTGTTGCACGTGCTTAGACACTTCCCTTGCCTGTCTTCACATGGCTACATGCATGTGACCCTCGCTCTCTGGCTTTGGGCTGGCCAGGAGCGGGCGAGAGGGGGACAAACACCCATGTGTCTGCGAGGGTATGTGCTTTGTGACTGTGTATCTCTCAGCGCATGCATTGATGTTCACATGGCTACATGCATGCGGCCCAAGCACTCTGGCTTTGGGCTGGCCAGGAGCGGCCAGAAGGGGACATCACTCATGTGATGGTACATGACCCCACATGGGTGTGCACTTATGAACGGGCAACACATGCTAACGTGCCACAGGGATGCACGTATTTTGGCCCATGATTATTTTTCTTTGTTCTTCTCTTCTATTTTTAGCGCTCCCTGCTCACTCCCTTCTCTCTTCTCCTTGTCATCCGGTTCGTTCCTTTCCCCTGATACAGCCATGCGTACGCCAGCAAACCTAAAGTATGACTTTTGAGTCGACTAAAAAATACGCCAGCAAACCTAAAGTAAGACTTTTGAGTCGACTAAAAAATACGCCAGCAAACCTATAAAGTATGACGTTTGAGTCGACACAAGAATACACCAGCAAACCTAAAGTATGACTTTTGAGTCGACTAAAAAATACGCCAGCAAACCTAAAGTATGACTTTTGAGTCGACTCAAAAATACGCCAGCAAACCTAAAGTATGACTTTTGAGTCGACTCAAAAATACGCCAGCAAACCTAAAGTATGACTTTTGAGTCGACTGAAGAATGCGCCAGCAAACCTAAAGTATGATTTTTGAGTTGACTAAAAAATACGCCAGCAAACCTAAAGTATGACTTTTGAGTCAACTAAAAAATACGCCAGCAAACCTAAAGTATGACTTTTGAGTCGACTCAAAAATACGCCAGCAAACCTAAAGTATGACTTTTGAGTCGACTAAAAAATACGCCAGCAAACCTAAAGTATGACTTTTGAGTCGACTCAAAAATACGCCAGCAAACCTTAAGTATGACTTTTGAGTTGACTCAAAAATACGCCAGCAAAACTAAAGTATTCTTCAACGTCTCAAAACGCGATCTTTCCCCTCTGTCCAGCGTCTCCCCCTCTCAACCCCCCCCCATCCCAGACCACCGATCACCACCTCCTCCCATCTGGTGGTTGTCACAGTGGGGGACACCGCTCCACCAGAGTGTGTCTTACCGGGCACTCTGACGGTGAGGAAGGAAGGACGTGGAGGTACTTGCAAGTCAAATGCTTGTATGATCCCCCCCCTTCCCTCCCCCCCTCTTCCTTTCTTTCAGGTGGTGGGCACAGTGGGGTATGCCGCCCCAGAGTATGTGTTGACAGGCCATCTGACGGTGAGGAGTGACGTGTACAGCTTTGGCGTGGTGCTGCTGGAGCTGATGACTGGCAGACTGGCGCTTGATAAGTCAAGGTGAGTCAAGCAGGTCAACGCAGATCAACGCAGGTCAACATAGGCCAACGATAGTCAATGCTAGTGTCGGCTGGTCCATCTGACAGCTTTGGCGTGGTGCTGACGACCGGCAGGGTGGCTCTCGACAAGTCAAGGTGAGTCAATGCAGGAAAATGCAAGTCATGACTTAACAAGGTCAGCAAGAGTCAACCCAAGTCGTTGGAGTGCGACAATGCAAGTCAACTCAAGTGAGACGTTGTCAGAATCAGCATGAGCACACGAGCTCATTTTCTCTACCGAATCTTGGACCTTGCTTTGTCCGGCCGCTACAGCGTGACAGGCGCTCAGATGGCGGCGGCTGTAGTGTTTTTGAGTCGATTGAAAAGCAGGTGCTCAAATGGCGGCTGTAATGCTTTTGAGTCGACTGAAAAGCAGGTGCTCAAATGGCGGCTGTAATGCTTTTGAGTCGACTGAAAAGTAGGTGCTCAAATGGCGGTGGCTGTAGTGCTTTTGAGTCGACTGAAAAGCAGGTGCTCAGATGGCGGAGGTGGTAGGGAGGGAAGGGACTGCCTTTCCTGCAAGGCCAAACGGTGACTGTCTTTATAAGCGAGAGAGGACCCCCCTATAGTCACATTACACACACTTCTTCTGTACCTCTTTTCCTCTGTCTCCCAACCAGATCAAATGTACAGCAGTCCCTTGCGGAGTGAGCAGCCCTATTTCCCTCCTTTCCCTCCAAGCTCTACAGAATTATGCATCCTGCTTTGGCCCATTCTCTCCCTCCCTCCTTCATCCCCACCCAGACCCAAGGAAGAGCAGTCCCTGGCGGAGTGGGCAGCCCCATTCCTAGCCTCTCCCTCCAAGCTCTATCGAATCATGGACCCTGCTTTGTCCGGCCGCTACAGTGTGAAAGGTGCTCAGATGGCGGCGGCTGTAGCGAGGGACTGCCTCACCCGCAAGGCAAAGCAGCGGCCACGCATGTCCGAGGTGGTAACGGCGTTACAGCCGGTGCTGGAGCTCCTTGATATGGCTGGGTTTGGTACTGGTGGTGGTGTGACTGCTGGTGCTGGTGGTGTTGGTGCTGCTGCTGGTGTTGCTGTTGGTGGTGGGGCGGGAGGTGGAGTTGGGGGGGTAGGTCTGGGGAATGGAGGAGGGGGGGCGCTGCTTACAAGGTCGAGTAGTGAGAATAGCACGACTACGACGAAGGGAGGGGGCGTGGGTAGTGGAAAGAGGTGGCAGAAGATAGGGAGTGGCCAGGGCTCGTTAGCTCAGAAACAGTTGTCTCTTAGAGAGGAGAGGAGACAGTTGTCTATACGGGAGGAGACGGAGCAGGATTGCTGACGGTTGAAGAACTAGTTGACTATGATTTGTGGATTTAACTCTACATGTTTGTCTAGGATTTCATACGAATTTGCTAGTTTGTTTGGTTCTTGAGTTGGTTTTCGAGCGTGTTCCTGCGGCCTCTTCCCAGCCAACCTCTTCCCAGACTTGAGGCCTCAAATTTGAAGGGTGTTTCACCCTGATTGCCCTTGCCAGCGGCCGCTTTTTCAGGATCACCCTGATTTTGTAAGGGCATTTTTTCCGTGACCCTTAGTCAAAAAGTGTAAGGTTATTTTTATCCTGCTGCAGTAAGAGTAATCTAGTTCTACCCTGATCAGACAGGGTATCGCCGAAATCACACTGAAACAGAAGAACGGCCCGCATATTCGACAAGTTTCTGTGTCCAGTTGGCGTCGCACTGCATGTGTGATTTTGGCGAAGGGCCAATCAGGCCTGTCACACCTACTCCAGCTCGTGTCGAACTGCATATTTGAATTTGTCGAAGGGCCAGTTAGTCCCCTCTGTTAGAAAGAGAGAATGAATGACTAGTGTGAGAAACCTAGAACATGTACCTGTTGGGATTGTACTCACTAGAAGCACACACCTATGCTAGCCTATAACTTCTACATACAGCATATGTATAAGTTGACACACCCCCTAGGCTAGAGAAGGGGTGGTGCTAGGCAAGAAGCACACATCTTAGGGTGGCACTACTAGTCCAACCACTAAGGTAGGGGTCCTGAGACCAGTCAGCAAGAGTACAAGCAAGACTAAAGCAAGCTAGGGCGGCAATACTAGTCCAGCCACTGGAGGTAAGGCCATAAGGCCAGTCAGACATGTATATATAATAGAGAGTACACAATCAGGGTCCTAACAGGTGAGTAGCTACAGGAACAAGACCAAGCTGTACACAGTGTCGCTGATGATCTTTAGGCGCAAGCGCCTTAGTAAAGATATCAGCTGTGTTGGCATCCGAGGCCAAGTGAACTACGCGGGCCTGGCGACGCTGCTGTAGCTCGCGCAGGAGGAAGTACCGCAGCTGGATATGCTTCGCTTTGCCCTCAAGTCGAGGCTCCTGACACAGGAGAATCATGGCCCTGTTGTCAGCGTACAGGACCGGGGCAGAGCTAGGCCGCTCACCTAAGTCTGTGAGCAAGAAGGTCAGCCAGCGGAGCTCCTGTGCCGCCATGGCACCGGCGTAGATCTCAGCCTCACAGCTGGACTGAGCAACAGACGCCGAGCGAGTGGATCTCCAAGAGATAGCACCCGAACCAAGGCTAAAACAGTAGCCCTGAGTCAACCTGAGTGTCTCAGAATCGTTTGCCCGAGAAGCGTCTGTGTGCCTAGTGAGGACCACCGGCCTGCGTCCTCCTAGCACTAACCCCATGCCTGATGTACTTGCTAGATATCGCAAAACCCTCTTAGCGGCCGACCAGTGCTGAGGTCGGTGTCTGCCTGTAGCCACAAAGCGAGCCAGGATGCAAAGAGGGTATGCGAGATCTGGGCGAGTGCAAGTCATCAGGTACATGAGGCAACCCACAAGCTCTGCGTAGGGGCCACTGGGCTCTACTGGCTCCTCAGGAACGGGAGCGGAGAGGCCATGGTCTACAGGTAGAGGTGTGGGCTGTGCGGAGGAGAACTGAAGACCAAACCTTTGAAGGACCTGACGCACCAAGTGTGACTGTGTCAGAGTGATGGTGCGTGCTGCTCTGTCCCTAGAGATCTGCAGGCCAAGATAGCGACGCAGCTCTCGAAGGTCAGTGCAGGTGTGTCTCTTCAGCAGCTCGGCCTTCACGGAGGCCAGTGCGTCCCTGTCAGTAGTAGCGAAGACCAGGTCGTCTACGTAGACAAGGATGTAGAACGGAGCCTGGCCGGAACGCACAAACAGCGAGGGGTCAGCAGAGGACGGAAAGAACTACAGGTCTGCTAGCGTGGCACGCAGCGTGTCGTGCCACTCGCAGGGAGCCTGGCGCAGGCCGTAATCCGGGTGCCTGAGAAGCCACTGGGTCCCAGGGGGGAACGTACCAATGAAGCCCTGTGGTCGGCGCAGGTAGACCTGCTCGTGTAGGCTGCCCTGAAGAAAGGCAGTAGAGAAGTCGAGGGAGGTGAAGCTCATAAACGCGCTGTGCTGCTATGTGTAGCAGCTGCCCGAAGAGTGGTCATCTTCGAGGTCGGGGCGAAGGTCTGGAAGAAGTCAGCCCCCTTGCGCTGGCCGAAACCTCTGGCCACGTAGCGCGCCTTGAAGACAGGTGGCTCTCCAGGGGGGCGCTTCACCTTGAAGAGCCACTGACCATCGACTACGTTCACCCTAGGTGAGGAACTGCGTCGACGTAAGTGCCGGTGGATCTCCAAGATGCCATTTCCTGCTCCATGGCAGCTATCCACTGAGAGGCCCAGGGTCCCAAGGTCGCCTCAGCGTAAGTGCGAGGGGTCGGGATGTCGAAGGCGTCTGGGTAACCCTCTGGGACTAGGAGCATTGAGCAGAGATGGGGAGCGGCCTCGGAAAGGAAAGCAAGCTCGTACTGCCTGTCCTCTAGAACGTCATTGCCAAGGGCAGGTGCACCCCCGAAAGACGGAGGACGGGCAGGGTCAGAGACCAGAGCGGTAGCGTAGTCAAGACGGTGGGTAGAGGCAAAGTCAGCAACAGCCGCGACAAGCGCGTCAAGGCGCGAGGCAGGAACAGACGGGTCTGTAACAAGAGAGGCAAGAACCCGAGGGACAAGGGGACGAGCGGCACGGAGGTAGTGAGACAGCGGGGGAGGTGCAACAACGAGCGACGAGGGAGGAGGTGACGGGAGGAGGGGAGGACGAAATGAGTGGGAACGGAGCAACATAGGGTGGGAGCACAGGACAGGAGAGATGGGACGAGCACGTGAGGGACGGCGAGACCAAACGTGGGACGGAGGTGTAGGGTCAGGAGACAGCGGAGGGGACATAAAAGGGGAACAAGGAGGAAGACGGGCCGGCGACGAGTCCGGCGGCGGGAACACAGGGCCGGAGACAGGAAGGTGAGAAGGTGGTGGGGGAGACACCTGCGAGCGGTCGGGAGAGGGAAGGCCAAGCATGCGAAGAGCGGAGACCGGCGGCGACGGCTGCGGCGGCTGCTGCGGCGGCTGCTGCGGCGGCTGGTGCTCGACCCGCGGAGCGGCAGGGGCACGACGAAGACCGGGAGAACACTCAACGGCAGCACCCCCAGAACCAACACCCCCAGAGCGAGAACCCCCTCCAGCACCAGCGGCACCCCCACGCCTGCCGGGACAGACCACGCCAGGGGCCGCAGGACGAACACCCTCCTCAAGGCCAGCACCCCCAGAGGCCAAGAGCGGCAGCGGCGGTGGCGGCGGCGATGGCGGCGGCAGCTACGACGGCGGCGGCGGTGGTGGCGGCGGCGGCGGCGGCGGAGGCGGCTGCGACAGCTGAGGCGGAGACACCAGGGAAGGGGGACGCGGCAAGGACGGGCCGGGGGGACCACCAGAGTCAGCAGACTCCTCAACGGGGACAACCGACGGGAGGGGAGTGACATGGGAGACACCAGACGGGGCAGGACGAGGCGGGAGGGGAGCAGGGGCTACCAGGAGAGAGGGAGTAAGGAACAAGGGGGGGGGAACCGGGAGACCTTGGTGAGGGAAGCGACGGTAGAAGGAGACAGACTCGTCAAAGGTGATGTCACGAGAGTGAAGGAAGCGGTGAGACTGCGGGTGGTAGAACAGCCAGTCAGACGAGTCCAGGGGGAAACCGAGGAAGATACAGGGGAAAGGGCGGGCAGTGAGCTTGTCCGTGCCAGAGGCAGGAACGTGAGCAAGGCAACCCCAGACGTGGAACGCAGATGCGTCACCGGGGGACCCGGTCCAAAGGAGGGTCGGCGAAACCTGTGGCTGCTGGGAACGTGGCCACAAGTTAAGCTGGTGAGCAGCGTAGCGGATAGCGAACGGCCACAGAAAATGGGGGGCATCGGCATGAATCATGGAGGTACGAGCAACCTCCATGACCAAGCCGATGCGGCGCTCAGTAACCCCATTGTCATAGGATCGAATGACTCGAGGAAAGATTGCACTATCGATCACTACAAGATTGCACTATCGATCCAGAGTACATCAGGTAACCAGGTTTATCTTACGCTAAGGGAATAGACCCTTCTAGAATATAGAATCACCCCGAGTATAGCTACGCGAGGCTATTGGCTTTAAGGTATTACGGCAGGATCACGCTAGATAGCGCACCAGTAGATCCCAAGCCTGGTCGGTGATATAATTATAATAGCAGGATAAACCAAAGGATTATGGAGAATAGGAAATCAAATGAGATGGGATAAATAGAGAAATGAAATAGGAAGGAAATAAGGAAAGGGACAAGTGGTGTAACGGGGTCGTACTCTCACACTTCCCACCCTCATAGCTGGGTGGTAGAAGTAACACCCTGCTTGACAAGGTAGTCATACAGAGGACGACGGGCGTTACCCATGTCGGACTCAGGTACGCAGCTGTCCTCAGAAGGATCATAACCCTTCCAACGGATGAGAAGCTCCACGGTGCCATTCCGACGACGGCGGTGTGCAAGCACGGACTCGACCTCGTACTCCGGTTCATTCTGGACGAGGACGGGCGGCGGTGGCGGTTGGCATCCGACGAAGATCGTGTTTGGATCCCGATAGGGCTTCAGAAGTTGGACATGGAAGGCATTGTGAATCTTCCAGGTAGCTGGCAGGCGTAAGCGGAAGGTAACAGGAGTGACCTGTGCTTCAACGAGAAAAGGCCCGCAGAAGCGAGGTCGAAGTTTGGATGGGAGGTGGCTGATGTCCAGGTTGCGGGTGTCAAGAAGCACCTGGTCTCCCACCGTGATGGTGTGGTCGTTGCGATGGCGATCGGCCTGGCGCTTTTGTTGCTCCTGAATGTCGAGGAGGCGCTTGTGGGTCCGATCCCAAAGCTGATGCATGGTTGTGATGAAATCATGTGCAGGTTGGACTGTAGCAGATGTCGTCGGTTTCTGTGATGTGAATGGGTGGCGTCCGTAGCAGAGGAAGAACGGCGTCTGTCCAGTAGCGGCATGTGTAGCGTTGTTGTAAGCAAACTCTAGAACGGGCAGGTGCAAGTCACATTTGGAGATTTCGGCCTTGCAGGCTGCTCGGAAGAGTTGCTTGACAATCTGGTTGAGGCGCTCGGTCTGTCCGTCTATCTGCGGATGGTAAGCGGATGACATGGCGAGTTTGGTCCCGAGCAGAGACATGAGTTCCTTCCAGAACTTGCTGGTGAACTT